TTTTATTAATGAACCAGATATTGCTTTAATCAAACCCAATTCAATAAAATTTATTATTGATGGACTATATCTAATCTAATTCAATAAAATACTTTAGACCATTAAGTCTGAACTGATCCAATTCAATATGTCTAGGTCCATATAATTCATCTAAATTGATTTTTATTTGGATGGGGTCCAATCTAAAACCGGTCCATTGACATTCCTACATGTTAATAGAAGATGGGAATAATTGTAGGATCGTGCATTGAAGGCATCTTCGTACTTGTATGATTTTATTCATAGAGATATTTTCAACTCTAGCTACAAAGCTGTGAATACGGTGTAAATTCAGATTTTGTGGAGATAAAATCCTAATTCTTTGACAATAGTGCTGGTTTTGTTTTTAAAAATAAAAATATCTATTATTTCCAATATAATTTTATTGATGTAGCAATTGCTTTTATTTTCAAAAACAAAAACAAACAGCCTCTTACACAACACAACTATCCAGCAATTTGTGATTAATCCGGAGTCCTTCTCATGGGCGGGCGGTTGGGCGGTGGCGTGGTTCTATTTCATCTTGACGGGACAAAAGTAATGAAGGCGAAAGCTTGGGCCCGACCACACAATGACACAATGACTCGCCTTCATGTTCAGTGCTTTCAATTCTGGGTCCAAGGCGAAAGATTGGGCCTGTCAATTCTCAGGGTCAACCTGATAAACCCAAGCCAATACAACCCTATTAAAGGGTGATCGGAAGTCAAAATTATTTCTGATATAATTTATACTTCAGAGCTGTTTTTAAAACTTCTTTGGCCAGCTTTTAAATTTACCAAACATCATCTTAATAGGTGCTGGATATTATATTCTTTGCATATTCACCATTTTACAAATTATAAATCTTCATACTCATTAACCAAATCCGATAGGGCCCTACCAGGTGCAAATGTGCAATTGTAGAATGAATTTAGTGAATAATTGGATCTTAGGCTACATTAGAGGTAAAAAGGCATAAGGCCTATTGTTAGGAGATTGGAACTCATCATTGGAGGGTTATGTCATGGAGATTAAGGTGGTATTAAAACGCTTTTATTTGATGTTTTCAAATAACACCTAATTTGGATGTTCGGTTGGTAAGGTCTCGTTCTGGTTGTGGTATAGAATTCCAACTGCACCAGGATTGGGGTGTTATGTGTTTGGGGGTAATAAGGGTATTTTTTTTCCATACATCGAATGTGGCTGCTTTTTCTAATGTTAAGTGGAGATGGGGTGTGGATGAGGAAAATGTTTTTGTCTGGGGGATGGGGTTTGTATATAATTTTTTCAAACCATCCTAAATTTGATGGTAAATTAGCAAAATGTTCCTAGGTTTAATATTAATTTTTAAAATATTTCCAAGTTTTCTCCAAATTCTTAAAATCCTAGATCCCATGATTCTATTTTAAAATACTTTCAAATTGTCATAATCTAGTTTTTAAAATACTCCCAAATTCCAATAGTCTTATTTTTAAAATATCTTAAAATTAAATGTATTTTAGGTAGCTGCCTTGGGGTGAAAAAATTCGGGGATTTCCTATGGGGAGATGGATGCCCCACCCCAAACACTCCCCACCATCGGGGACGGGGCAGGAATGGGGTAGAGTATCTTGGTTTCGGGGCATGGATGACCCCCCCTGCCATTTCTGTTTGGGGGATGGGCCATCTCCATTGTGTAGCCCCCTCGAGTAAATAACACCTAATTTTGGCAATAACCAACTTGAAACAACGTGTGGGTATACTGCGAATACAACACATTCAACACCCGAGTTAACTTTGGCTGTTGGGGCCCAACAACTAGACCTGTTCATGGGTCGGGTAGCCCGACGGCCCGGTCGGGCCCGGTCCGCACCCCGGCCGGGCTTGGTCATATAATTAGGCCCGCGGGCCTGACCTCGGGCTTAACACAGTAAGCCCGACTGTGTTTCGGGCCGGGCTCGGGATTTGTCAAAAAAGCCCGGCCCGGCCCGACTCAGTATTATATATTTTATAAAATATATAATATGTATTTTATATATTATATAAAATATATAAATAATATAATATTTATTAAAATATATATTTATAATTTAATATATATATATATTTTTTTATTCTTTTCTTTATAATTTCAATCTATCTCTCTCTTTATTCAGCTGCTTCAACATTAATAATAATAATAATATAGGCTAAATTTCGGGCCTGGGCCCAGGCTCGGGCTTCGGGCTTTTTATGAGGGCCGGGCACGGGCCCAAATTGTAGGCCCGATGGTCGGGCCAGGCTCGGGCTCGGGCCTTAAAAAAATTTGTTAATACACAGTAAAAGCCTGGCCCGAGCCCGGCTCGGCTTGGCCCATGAACAGGTCTACCAACAACATAGGCTGTTGAGACAGTTTCTAGGCTGGACACATTCTAGGCAGTTCACCTATTCACACCCATGCTTTGGTTTTTAGTCAAAATAAATTAAGATGTAATTACTATTTTACACATTCTCATGATAACATGTCATTTCCCGAAATTCTCTCAACAACATAGGCTATTGGTCCCCAACAACTAAAGTTTTTCCCCAACACCCTATTAATATGATCTAACATTGTACATCTGAGACCCACCATAAAAGTAGGACCGCCAAGTATGAGATATGCAATGTTAGATCATATTGGTAGCTAGGGTGTTGGGAAGCCGATGGCTGGTATTGGGAAGGGTGTTCAAGGGAAGACGAGACGATGCTGAGCGAACCGATGGGTCCCGTTCACCGCAACCCACCAGTTTGGTTGCACAGACCCGATGGATGTGTAGACCGGTTCACCTAGAGCGCCCATCCCCCCTACGGAAGGCTCTCCTCGCACCGGACTCGTACCAGGCATGACCTTGGTGCACCAGCCAGTGAATCCCGTACCATGCACAGCCCCCAGACTGTCACCGCGTGAGTACAAGGCACAGGATCGGCTTAGCCGGGCCCCCTCCACCTCGGGCTCCCTAGCTGAAGCCGAGGTATCCACAACTTCATACTAACTTACCTTGTACTCATACTAATTTGATCGTCGGAGTCCTCGCCTCGGGTTATCACCTGAGGCTTTTGACACCTTCTCCCTTGCAGATTCACTACTATGGGAACATCTTGTCTTCCCTCAGACACCCTTCCGAATACCATCCCTCGGCTTCTACAGTATCCGAAGGAGCGATTCGCTTCGGCCTCAATTCATCTCCTCTGGATTCTCAAAGCCTTCAACTTTCCTTCGAAGCTTGGGAGTGAATTTACTTTGTTTCCCTCGGTCAAACCGAGCATCAACAATTGGCGCTGTCTATGGGAAACGTTGCTAAGATGATCCCCCAAAATACTACAAATTCAAGATCTCCTAAAGCTTCAAACACCATGGTACGAAGAGCCAGGAACCCCCAAAACCTAGTCACTAGTGAACAGTTCTAAGTCGTCCTCAACCGTTTGGCATACCTCACCCAACGGGTGGAACAAGCCTACCCTCAGGCAGAAGGTCCCTCAGGCGACCGCCCCGCGGGGTGTCAGATCACTGGGGGTGACGTGAGCACGCCAAGCCCCCAACACTCGGCCTGGCTGACCCCGCCGAGTTTGGCAGCAACCGACCCGCCAGCCCACCATGTAGGAACAAGAGACCTCCCAGCCGAAGGGAGGAAGAGCCGGCGCGGTTCGAGGATAGCCACCGAAGATGAGATGTTGTTCCCATAGTAGTGAATTTGCAAGGGAGAAGGTGTTAGAGACCTCGGGTGATAACCCGAGGCGAGGAATCCGACGATCAAATTAGTATGAGCACAAGGTAAGCAATGAGTCTGGAACCGAGAAGTCCAGACGAGGTCTCAGGTAGTGCTAAGTCCTTGGAGGAGAGAGCGCTAGAGTCGAATCTTTTACCTTGTGTGAGGTGCCTTGTGCCTTGCATTTATAGCCGGAGCTGCTAGGGAGTAGTTAGGCTCGGATGATCCAGATGCGAGCTATACCAGGGCCTGGCAAGATGTTTTGCCAGAGCCATGCGACGCCCTGCGACTGGATCCACCTGGTCCGTATCAAGTAACCCTAAGCGTCCTCATGATAAGCCTACAGGCCAGCCTAATGCGCCTAATGCGCCTACATCAATTGCAAATCAACCACTTCGCAGTCTTTCACTAGTGCTGTGGGATCATATCGTTCAACTGTTGATAACGTCTCACAACAATTTACAAATTAAATCCATGAAGTAGTGCTATAATTGTAAGGACATGGCCAATGTGCAAATGGTCACCCCACCACACCACCTGCTAAAATGAAATACTTTTTTTTTTAACTTTCTTTTTTCCTTTCTTTCCTGTTAATCTCTTAGGGTGATGGGTTCACTAGGACTGGGCTAACCTATCTTTAGGTGGGCCAATCCAATAGCAAGATAAAGAATGTTCTGTCCGAAACGCTAAGACATTCCATCCAAATCCTCCCGTCCTTGCCCCTCACGGTCACGGATTTGGATTTGCTGTAATTGCTGCTCTCTTTAACCCTTGGTAACTCGTAAGAAGTAAGAACAACCACAATCTGAGTTCAGTGAAGCCGTAGTTCCGGCTATTTTCTACCAAAGTTTAAGTTTTGTATGTATAATTTACCGAAATAACTTGTATTTTTATTTTATTTTTGGTGAGAACTCAGAAATTAACTTCTTTCTTTTAGTAAAAAATGTGGTTGTTACTTAGGTTCCAATTTTCATAAAAAATCACCATCGACAGATCGACTTTCATTGAATGGATTGATTCTTTCTTACCCCCGACGCGCAAAAACGAAAAAGAACTTTTCTCAATTCCTGTTGTGTTGCTTTTGTCTTGGCTATATATCCTTGTGGCAGCGAATGAGCCCCTGTTCCTGTTGGTTGTCATACCGCTCCCCTCCCTTCTACTCTCTATTGGAGATTGGATTGGAATCTTACTAGTCACTTCTCCGTGGATAAACGAAATTGGCATGGTGGGGTACACTTGTTTCGCGTTGCCTACTTATTTCCTACTGTTCGCCTCTATTCCCCGCAGGACACGTTTAATGCTCTCCTCTTCCCGACTTTCTACTACACATTCTCTCTCTCTCTCATCTCTTTGCGTTTGTGTGAGAAGAGAGTTGCTCTGTAATGGAAATCAAAGGTTTTACTCAAGAAGGTTACACACAAGATGGCTCCGGCGATCTTCGCGGACGTCCAGTACTTGCTTCTCGAACAGGGAAGTGGAAGGCCTGTGCGTTTCTAGTGGGTAAGTTTCATTAAGCTTATCAAATTCAGGTCCATGGTTTTTTCTAACAGAGGAATTTGTGAACAAGCTTATTACACAACTGTTCTCAAGTTCATTTCTTAATACAAGTTTCATGTAATGAATAATCATTTACTTCTTCTAATTTTATAATTCAAAATTCTACGATGGATTTCCCCGAATTATCAGACAGGCGTTTCCTTTTCCTTTTCCTTTTTTCTTTTTAGTTTTCTTTTGTGGGGTCGATTAAAAGAAATAAATATTATATTGCAGAATAATAAAATACTGTAATGATCTGCTCCAAAGTTCATATACCTTCTGTTTTATTTATTTATTTATTTATTTTTAGTCATCAGAAGAGGAAAAAGGATTTTTAAAATCTCTTCAACTCCCACGGTTTACCCAATCAAATCGCTAATTTGAAATGAATTACTATTCTTTTGATAAAAAAATTGCAGGTTATGAAGCATTTGAGAGGATGGCTTTCTACGGAATAGCTTCAAATTTAGTGAATTATTTGACGACCCAACTTCACGAAAACACAGTAACATCAGTGAGGAATGTGAACAACTGGGCAGGATCTGTCTGGATGACACCGATACTCGGCGCTTACATTGCGGACTCTTATGTAGGTCGATTTTGGACATTCACCGTGTCATCTCTCATCTACGTCCTGGTAAAGTATATAGTTTAAGCTACACTGATATTCTCTTTATGCCCACTCGTTTATAATGTCTTGAGCATTGATGATTGTTTTAGCTGTTGAAGTATAAATTTGAAGCTTAGACTTGTCCACATGTTTGGTGTCTGGAGTCTGGAATCTGGTCCACCCAATTTGGGAAATGGAGTGTGGCCACTTAAATCATGAGCAATGGTCCACACCCCACAATAGTCCCTATTTCATCAGTATAATCGTTGCGGTGTTATTCATCCATTCGCTCTGCACTTACCAACAACTCATATATATCCTTCAGGTTGCACTTTGTTTAATGCCATCTCTTCATCTCTAAAAGCCTTTCTACAGAGCAGAAGATATATCTCATCTGGTTACTTTGTGAAGAATCTTCGTTCTCAGTTAATGCACAAGTTCATGAAAATGAATCTCAACTGTTAGAAAATGACAAGAATTTTATAGCTCTTAATTCTAAATTTAAGTGGATATAGTTTAGACTGCCAAGTTATTTAGCAAGGACTGTCCTTGTCAGAACAGACTCTGTGGGTTTTGTTTTGTTTCTTTGTTTTTGACCCATTTTTGCTACTGTAATAACATATGTATATCTAAAAACACTTCTAACAGGGTATGGTGCTTCTGACAATGGCGGTCTCTATTAGATCCTTGAAGCCAACATGTGCTAAAGGCATCTGTAATAAAGCCTCTACATCACAGATCGCATTTTTCTACTCATCTCTCTACATCATTGCAGTTGGAGCTGGTGGAACAAAACCCAACATATCCACTTTTGGTGCAGACCAATTTGATGATTTCAATCCCCATGAGAAAGAGCTCAAGGACTCATTCTTCAACTGGTGGATGTTCAGCTCTTTCTTGGGTGCTTTGTTTGCTACTTTAGGGCTTGTCTACATCCAAGAGAATGTGGGTTGGGGATTAGGCTATGGCATCCCTACAGTTGGTCTTCTACTCTCTCTGTTTATTTTCTACTTAGGCACCCCAAATTATAGGCACAAGTGTAGAAGGACCAAAAGCCCTGCGAGGGGCCTGGTTCAAGTTCTTACTACGGCCTTGGCGAACCGCAAGTCCAAGCTTCCTAGCGATCCATTACAACTTTATGAGCTTGAGCCACACCATTATGTGATCACTGGAAAGCGACGAGTTCATCATACTCCGGCTTTTAGGTACGTTTCCCATCCACTTACATTAGTGGTGCTTTGAAATTGAACAAAGGGAATTGCACGTGTCTATGTTTTATTTATTGAGACCCATCCACTGGTTGGAGTTCAAAACGTACGTCAAAACAATGAAACAGGTGAGCTTTAGATAGCTGGACCTTTTCGAGCTTCTGTAGCTATACTAGTCCGTATTTACTGTTTAGTTGGTAGTAGACTATTAGTAGTGAAGCATATATGGTTCTGTCATCTGTGTGCTTGGAGATCTGGTGTGTTGGACTTTGAAGGTTTTGTCGTGAATCGTGATGTGGATGTGGGTGGGTGAGTAGATCAGTAGATATGCCTTGGGGCCGACCACTCGATGTGGTGATTTTTAGGAGATTTCTTATTGGCAAAAGGTGCTTTTAGGATCAGAAACTGGATAAAACCGAGTTGATGCATGCTGGAACCTTGAAATGGTAAGACTCCACTCTCTTAGAACAGGCTGACGGATGAAATGGACTGATCGAGGAATAGAATTTCCATAGATAGATAGGAATGAAGACAATACAGAGAAGAGAAGAGGATCTGGACCCACCATTAAATAAATATCGCCTAAAAGATAAACTCAACTCGAGTATGTGAAATTGTGAATCCAGTTCCGCCATTTGGCTATGCTCAGCACCATATTCATTGTAGATCTCACCTAAAAACATCTGTCTCATAAAGACAAAGAGAAATGTAATTGTGATCAGGGAACCTCAATGTAGCCCGTGGTGGGTTCTCAATAATAAACGAAAGATGCCCCGCAGCTTTTTAGATATATATATATATATATATATATATATATATATATATATATAATCCACTAGTTCAGGAATCTTTTTTGATGTCAGGAATTGATTTGATTGCAATGGATTTTTGTGTGTGAGAACAAAACCACTGGAATGAATCTTCTATCCAATGGCATGTACAAGATCAACTGTGCCTTTGGTGGGGGAGGGGGAGGAGTTCCTTTTTAAATGGGTTTTGAATAAGTTCGTATTAGATAAATACATTTTGAGCGTTCGGTGAGGTGTGACGCCCTAAACGCTCTTTTATAAATATATGCTTATCCATCCAAAATGTAAAAAGCCAGATATCCTAACTTTTTTTTTGGCTTTTTGGCTTTTTCCATCGAATGCCATTTCTTGGTTATTTTAAGGAACAGGTGTAAAAAAATTTTCTACAATGTATCCACGACTGTTCCAAACGCAGCCTGAGCCCAAGTATATATAATTAACGCACTCCTTATTGTCAACTTCGTTGTGGGTAAGGCAAATGGGAAGCGCCAAGTCACCCATGGTCCAACATGGCCAAAAAGGGTCCACTTCGGTGCATAGCCTTTAACGTTTCGAGTTTAAATCAGCCCCCCCACAGCACATCCCCGCCATGTATTGGAAACATCACATCATCATTTCTGGTATATCACGGCAGAGACGTGCTGTGAGACATTGTGGGGTGCTGATTTGATCTCTAATGTTTCTTCATACCCACCAATGAGATGATCCCACATCAATATCAAAGCAAGAAAGAAATTCCTCCATTAATGTTAATGCAATGCATCTTTGATGATAAGGGATAAAATAATTTCTTTCTTTCTCTTTCTTTTTTGTAGAATGGCAAGCAAGATTTTGTAAATGGAAAGAAATCATTCACAACCTCAAGACCCAGATGCAGAAACCATCATCAAAAACCAACTTAGAAAGCACTTGCAGCAATTGCTCAGGCAAAAACAAAAACTTCTATTGTAAAGGCATCGATCATCAAAAACCAACTCACCCGGAATCCCTTAATTAATTCAACGAACCCAACACAAAAGGAGCTCGCTAGCTTATTCAAAAATTCTCCTCTTGGTAATTTGTTGTTTTTGGTATATATATAGGTTCCTTGACAAGGCAGCGGTCAAAGTCGCGGACGCCAACGCAGGGGGAGGGGGGCCGTCATCACGGCGACCACCATGCACCGTGACACAAGTAGAAGAGACAAAGCTTGTATTGGGGATGGTGCTAATATGGCTAGTTACCCTGATCCCAAGCACCATAGGGGCACAGGTAAACACCTTATTTGTGAAACAGGGTACCACACTGGATCGGAGCATTGGCCATGGCTTCCAAATCCCAGCTGCATCACTGGGGAGTTTTGTTACACTCTCAATGCTCATCTCTGTCCCAATGTATGACCGCTACTTTGTGCCATTCATGCGACGGAGGACTGGCAACCCTCGGGGAATCACACTTCTTCAAAGGCTTGGGATCGGTTTTGCCATCCAATCTGCGGTCACTGTAATTGCATATGTTGTAGAACTGAGGAGGATGCATGTTATAAAGAAATATGGAATCTCCAGCGCCAAAGAGGTTGTCCCCATGACCATCTTATGGCTCCTACCTCAATATGTTCTTCTGGGTATAGCAGATGTATTCCATGCCATCGGTTTGCTGGAATTCTTCTACGACCAGTCACCGGAAGACATGCAGAGCCTTGGAACCACCTTCTTCACTAGTGGAATCGGCGTCGGCAACTTCTTGAATAGCTTTCTAGTCACGGTTGTGGATAACATAACCGGGAAGGATGGAAGTAGGAGCTGGATAGGGAACAACTTGAATGATTCTCACTTGGATTACTACTATGGATTCCTTTTGGTGATTACCACCATTAACTTAGGGCTCTTTGTGTGGATTTCCAGCAGGTACGAGTACAAAATGGAGACCATTGAAGCGACTCAAAGCAAGGTTTCATGTGTTCAAATGGAAACTAGGTCTTTAGACAATTCTCTTGGGTTACCAGCCTGACAAGGGATTGAAGAAAAAATCTTCTGTGCAAGACAATTAATCTAGCTAGCTTTGTAATATATGTAAGATATATATTACATGTTCTAAATTCGAAAACTCAGAGTCTGAGACTCAATTTAAAAGCTTACTGACTTGATCAGTTTATGGGCGACTCAATGATCAAGGCTCCAAATAAACATTAGAATGATAATTAAGTATTATATATTCCATTTGTAATTGCTCTATAGATGAAATAAATAAATAATCTCCCAATGAGTTCTTGAAATGCATATTAACAACCAACTCTAGTCTCTAGCTAGTAAAAAGTTGGACGAATATTCATGGTAATTTCAGTGGAGTCAATGTTGAATCAAAGATGGACCCATGGCACGACATTGTGTGGATGACAAATGTTCTAATAATCAAATGAAGGTAAATCTTTGGATTTTCCAGTTGAATCAATGAGCTGATATTACATATGGGCCGGATAAGCAGTTCTCCGATTTGGCCCACCTTTTATCCTGGGCTTGTACTTCATGTACAAACCTAGGCAAGAATTTAGGGCTGGGCATGAAAATGATAAGCTTGGACCTACTTATCTGTATATAGGAAGAAAAGATAGATTGTCCAGGACATACATGTAGACAAGCTTAGTCCCTACATTTTCTTATCTTAGCCCAAGTATCTTTTGGACCGTGTGTCTCAGCTTGGCCATGGGAGTGGGTTCCGTTGTGCTCTGAGAAGATGTTTGGAGGATAGAGTAATTGAACATGTGTAGTATAGAATAACGTAAAGTTGAGTAGGGCTATAAACACGATTTGAGTTTAAATCTTTACCTTCGATTCTCTATATTTTTATAGGCTTTATATTAATAAGTTGATAAGTGGGCATGGCACATTGGCATGTATAGGATATCTCATTATTTAGCAAGTTGAGTGGTCTGCATCACTTTCTGAGCTTTTGCCCCCCCACCCAAAAAGAAAACCGACATTTTGTGATTCCACCAAGTCATGATTTCGTTCGTTCGTAACACAAGCATTTCTCTTTATTGTCGCCTGTTCTATGGATGCAAAATGGTCATGTCCCAAGCCTAGAAACGGTGATCCTGTCTACATATCATGGGCCAAGATGTAAAATTCAAGCCCATTAGCTTCCAACAGGAAATCCTTGTACCATGTATTTTAAGAAACGAAAAATGAACGAAGTGGTTTTCAGTTGCCCACTGCCTTTCAAAGGCAGAAAGATTGGCCATTGGGCCCAAAACATATCATCAATGCGGTCAGGTTCCTCATCAGGGGCAGCATGTTTATGGACCAAAAACTGCCCAAACATTCCATTTACTACCTTACGAACTGTTCAAGGGCTTTTAAAGCCTTTTCCTATCCTATGGGTGGATTCCGGGTTCTTTATTTTTCGCTGTTAGAATGAAAGAATTAATGAAACCTTAGAGGCTTAGACATGTATAGCAATTAGCAAACATCAGTACTTGGAAATTTGGAATTAGCTACATCCTTAATAGGTTCAGTTTGGAAAGAGTCCAAATACAAATATGTACACTATAAAAACAAGGTTTAGAAATACCTATAAAAAGTTGCATTCTTCGAGTGCATATACAAATATGTACAGTGCAAAACCTTGTAATACAAATATGTACAATACTCTATATAAAGCTTAGCCTTATCTCTATAGAAATCTATATACGTCTATTTTTTTTTTTTTTTTTTTTTGATAAAATGGGAGCCTGTTACACCAAACGTGTGGTTTCACCAAGGTGCTAAGAACACCTCTTCTATTTATTATATATCCTTTCTTTTCTCCATTCAGGTCATCTCGGAGTTTTGTATTTTTTTTTGGGGAAAAATTCCTGATTAGTACCTTGTATTTTGGGAGTTGTGTCAAGTCAGTCCCCAAACTTCAAAACATGTCTCTATAGTATCCTGAACTTTCAAATTGTGTCTAATAGGTCCCTATTATTAGTTTTCTGTCAGTCAACACCGTCACGTGACATCAGATGCAAGGTTCAAAGTATCAGAAACGCTATGCATATCGGAAAGACAAATTTAAGAGACGTATCGGGATACACTTTGGATACGCATGGATACGGATGAAAAATTAAGATACGCACGAAAACATATGGAAATGCTATAAATAAACATCAATATCACTAAATATAAGACATAAATGAGCTATTTATGCATAAAAATAGCACGTTTTAGTGGGTTTTATGAAAAAAATATATTATAATCAATAAACGGAAAGTCGGAAACAAAAACATACTATCTAATTATGGACATAATAGATCAAGTAATTATTTTGCATGTTTTATTCTAAAAATTAAATTAAAATTAAGAAAAGTAAATATGTAGCAAAAAAATGAATGGATTTATGGACATAATAGATGAAATAATTATTTTGCATATTTTGTTCTAAAAGTAAACTAAAATTAAAAAAAATAAATATCAATGATTCAATGTTTTAAAACACAATGGTGTTCCACTACCTAGAGGCGTGAAGCATAGTTCAGAATGCAAGAGGCGTAAGCTTCCTTAAGAGGAGGAAGGGGGGATTTCATTTTTTTTTCTTTATCTTTAATAAAAATCTTTTATATTAAAAAAATAAAAATGCATAACATTTGTTAAAAGGGGGGTCTTGTCGAAGTGAAGGCGAGCGAGCGAAGCGGAGCAAGACCCCCCTAACTCTAAAAAATAAAACTGGGCTACGTGACGAATTTTGAACCTTGATTAGATGCACATTAAATCATTTCAAAATGGGCAAAATTACCCTCTATGGTATTTTTGTAATCATTTTACCCATTTTCGTCTGAGTGTTAAGGTTTGTTATGGGAACCAAACACGTTGGGATTGCACAAGAGCTTATGGCTATCTAGACCTTACTAATCATTGACAAGCTTTTCAAAAGTCGAAACGTGGAGACGAGGAAAAACTATGACAACTTGATAAACTCAATTGAGAAATCGGGAGTGAAGGTTCATGTATTTTCGTCATCCATAGAACAACTCGTTTAAATTCTTCACCATAGTCGCCACATCTGAAGTGTTACCATTTCAAGCTACTCAGCTCTTGAATTGGTTTATGTGAAAGTGGCAAATAAAGAAAATCAGATGACACCTGATAGGTATTTCTGTCATTTCACTTATCCATTAACACCTTTTAACGGATAGGGATCTATTAGACACAATTTAAATATTTATGCTCAATTTGGAAAGAGTACAAATGCAAATATATACAGTGCAAATACATATAAAATAATACAAAATATGAGGTTTTGCAGTCTATATATTTGCATTTGTACTCTTTCCAAAACTGAGCCTTAGGGTATTATAGAGACACGTTTTGAAGTTCATGGATTAACATGACACAACCCCTAAATTATAGGGTACTGATCAGAAATTATTTTGGAAAGTATCGGCTTTATCTCTGAAAGAAGCAATACTTTTAGGCAGTGTTCGGCACTGTGTTCAGCTCATGGATGGGATGAACACCCATTCTACAGGCTGTGGATGGGACCGGTCCCGTCCACACCCCAATTTCTCATCCACAGCAAAATTTTGTGGTTAGGGACCATCCGCACTTGATTTTTGATCCCCTACTTCACACTTTCCCTAAAAGGCTGAAACCCTATTGTCTGTTTCACATTTTAATATTTTTGTTAATAAAATATTAATTATTTTACTTAAATTTTTAAAATGTTAATGTTTTATCAATAAAATAATATTTTAAATATTAAAAATATATTTTTTAAAATTTTAATTATTTTACTATTGTTTAGTAAAAAAATTAATATTTATTGGTTAATATTAATTCACTGATGCCTTTTTCAATATATTTATCATATAAAATGCAAAAATTAGATAGTTATGATTAACTGTGTAGGTCAAGGTTTTTAAACTACCGTTGACCCAGATGGTCGGACCGTTTGGCCCGGGAATTGTCCAAGCAAGTGGTTTCGTTTTACTCCAAACCTGGTTTTTGACCAAAAACTGTTGAAAAGGTCAACAACTTGTTGACCCGAGCGGTCGAATAGTCGACCGTTCAATGGTTTTTTATTGGTTTTATTTTTAATTATTTTTTTATTTTTTTTAATTTGTTTGTCAAAACAGGCCATCCATTCGAACTGGACTGTTGGACCGTTGACCTGGAAACTGGTGGCCAGAACGGTTCCATTTCTAGGTCATTTTTTAAAATGTTGGTGTAGATCATTCGTAAATGTATATGAAATTCATGGAATCAAAAAGACGCTTATAAAACGTCACTGTGGACATAATTTGTCCACAGAACAACTATGGACTGTAGTGTGGTGTGGATTGGTCCCTGCCATAGGGTACGGTGTGGACCAATCTATACCCAGCAATTTCTCATCCACACTAGAAAACACCCCTTAATTAACTAAAAACCTCAATTAAAAATGTGTAGAGTGAGTTTATGGGCTTTTCCTTAACCAAATTAATCAACAGGCTTGATTCTTAATTCTTGAAGATCACCCAAGTGTTAATTAAGCACGCTCCCGGTACCCTGGTCGGTCCAATTAACGAATGGCTATTTCTCCATCAGTTACAAAGGCCAAATCAAAAAACAGATCCATGACCTACAATTGACCTAAGTATTCATTAATTAATTATTCCATTTGCATTGCGAAAATAAGGTAGTTGGGAAGTCAGAGAGATATAGAAGTTTATGAAATCATCTTTTAATATATATTAAAAAATAGGTCAATGATGTTCATGAAGGATCCTGTGAAGAAAAATTCATTATGATGGAGTTTAATTAGTTTACATGTTTGATGTTGAAGAGAGCTTATTCAAAGTGTGTGTATTAATTCAAATTAAAATGTTGAAGACAACTAAAACCAAAGACTTGTGGAACCCAGAAGTGGTGTGTATTCAAATTAAATAATCAAAACATGACAAGTAATGGTTGGGGAGCTTCCATGGAAGTTAAGCCTTCAATTACGCAAATATTTTATATTTGAAGCAAACTCATATCGAGTAGTAGGTCTTGACTTACACTCTCATGCATATTAGAAAATGAAAGTCATAAGTTAATGAAGATTTGGTAACCCATATATCAAACCAATTCTCTTATCTCATCGTGTATGCTTATTATTTTTTCTCTCCCTTTTAAATTGTTGTTGGGTACGAAGATTACACAAGGTTGGTGTTGATAATCTCGGTTAAGAGAGAGAGAGAGATTTTACAAGGTCAATGTGTTCTATGGCTCCCGAAAGAGGGAATTAAAGAGGAGGAGGTCAATTTATTGATATCTACTCAAATTCTTCAACGACCGGAGTTCCCAGGCACCACTGTCTTCTCTTTTCTGGTTCTTTAAAATAGGATTAAAGTTTTCTCATCAGTGACCTTCAATTTACCTTGTGAGGGTGAATTAATGCACCCAGAAACTATTTTTCTTTTAATTTCGTCTTCTATGTTCATATATATGGTTTTGAAAAAAACGACTTTGACTAAGCGATCTCCATGTCCTCTCTGTATCCCATATCTTCATAAATACTATCAATTCCAAAGAAAGAATCTAGGTTTTTTAAAAACTTAAACAAACTAATTAGACCCAAAATAATGACGAATTAGGTGCTTAATTCTCCTAATGATCCTCGATCTATGCTAATAATGATGAGGTGTTGCTATGCAACGAGCTATCTATTTAACCCATATATAGCTGGCTTTTGATTGGACGGTTTGGAAAGTAATGACAAAGTCCAATCTAAGGGTTTCCCTGTTCAATGGACGGTTATCGGTTAATATGGAATGGACTTTTGGTCCATTTACGTAAAAAAAAAAGGCTTATTTGATTTATTCGGGATAAATTTTTCCATGTGATTTAACAAATTATGTTTTTCCAAATCTATTATCCATTTATCACAAGCAAATTAAATATGTTGCTGCAGGGGGGTTTTAACTTTTAAGTTGTCTTATTGTAGTGTACTGGTAAGGGTATGCAAACCGATCGAACACACACAGTCTAACGGAAAGCAAAAGGATTAATGAAGAGAGAGAATGTAAGAAGAGTGAATTGATTAGATTTTAGCATGGTATATAGTTTGGACGTGAAGCCAGCAATAGTATATGACATGTACAGTAAAGCTATAAATATTAATTAAATAAGACAGGTACCCAAGAGTACTGAATGGATCCGTAGGAGATGGCATCTCCATAAGTATAAACCATTATGTGGAGGCTTCTAAGCACATTACCTTGATTTAGCTATGACTAGTTATAAAGGAGATCAAAATAAATAGAAATAAAAAACAAAGAGCTAGATAGACAAAAAGAAAAAGAAAAGGTAATTCACTTATCTTTTCACTTTTTGAGTTGTTTGAAGTTTGCTGCAGAGTGCAGACATTCTTCACATTATTCGAATGGTTGGAGTTCGATGCCTCATTTCAACTCATTTATGTGGTATTGTTAATTCTGACTTTTGGAATTGCAAGTGGTCCGGCTCTCCGCTCTCCTTGCCTCCTTGGTTAATTGGTTGATGAATGTGAATGTGAATGTGAATGTGAATGTGAATATTGTATGTGGACGTCACTTGAAAGTTGAAAGGCACAGTCTGGCTCTGGCCTGCTACACATGATGCACTAATTAAGTAGATCGTCCCTTCCTACTTCGTAGCACTCACAGACGCTTACTTGCATTGACTACCATTAATCACGTTGGCTCATCTTCCTTAAAAATTTTAAAGCATTTGGTCAAATTAACGCGGATATTGAGGTTCTCCTTTATTTTATTTTTTTTTCCGCCCGTCTTAATGATTTGATACTCTTAGACTTCGTGTATACCACGCAATAACAGGCAGGTAGCGGCAGATAAGCCTTGGTGCAAACTATTGAAGTTTACTTTAATGCCTCCTTCGCTTTTTGGTAAATTAATTAACTGAGTAAATGTATTTGTCTAACTAAGTATTTTTCAGGAAAGATTTATCCCGGTAACTGCATTTATTCATGTTCTTTTATATTTTATATAAATAAGACAATGACTATTGTAGTTATAAAAATTTCATTATTAAAAGGGGTATTTTTGTTTCATCCAAGTATTGATAATTTTCCCTAAATGAGAAAGTTAATTTATCCACTTAGGAGATGGGTATCGCTTACCCAGGTAAATGATGATAGCCTGAAAAATAAACTTTCATTGATCCCCATATAAATCTGAAAAGTAAACATGAATTTCTTGGTCAATGAAAATTAAAGTTCGATTGACCAACTTCCCCCCTCTCAAAATCGAAAAAAAGAACACCCCCCTAAGGATTGTGTGGGTTTTACTTTATCACTACAAAACTAAAGTTGGTTTAGTTTTGTAGGGATAAATTTTTATATAATAATTTTGATTGTGATGGATACATATATTAAGGGCTCAACTATGATATGGAAAAGATATGATGTCTAAAAAACTTCTGACCAATCAATTCGAATCATAAATGATGTAGGACGATTTGGCCTGACCTCGTAGTACGGGTACACGTTGGCGTGACCTTGCTCAAGCGATGACTTAGCGTGACAGCACAGCAGGCACAGCCGCAACTCGGTGGAAAAGTCACACCGAGTTCAGTCCGGCAAATCGGCGGGATAGACTACTGACCAGGAGCCGCCTAACCTGCACCGCCACCCCGGGGGTTAAGGCACCCCGGGCTACCTCCGAACTCGAGGCCCCCTTGACCTTTCCTAATACCTGAGCTCCTCCCAGTGGATTTCGGACCACTCCTAGACAGGAACACACCGATCCGCCTATAGATACCTCGAGATAAATACACCTCGGCTTAGCTTGCCACAGGCAGCTTGTCGCTTACGAGATAGCCCAACACAGGGTAGCTCGCGGGAGGGTAGTCCGGCACATCGCAGGAAGACCTCTTGCCAACCACCGTACCCGACAAATTTGGGAACAACAGCCATATCCCTCGTCAGACAGCGTCGTGTTTGCCACCTTCAGAGGGTGCCTTACACCTGACAGGCACGTACACTGCGGCGATGTCCCCACACGTGCCACCTCAGCCCCGCCAGTAACGGCTGCGGCAGGCTGACAGTGGCGGTTATACCCGCCCTATCAGAGGCCAATGGGCCTGATACAACGGATTTCTGTTATAAGGAGCTAGTATCAAGGAACAGAGGTATCATCTTCTACCCTTGCACTATCTGCACTCTTAGCCTCCATCTTCTCCTTATTTCTCCTACTGAATATTAACTTAAGGATCGGAGTGTTCCCGCCGGGTAAGCTCCCGGGGATTCTTCTTCTTCTCCATCTCAGGTACCTTACAGGAGCCACGTAAGTGCTAGGTAGGAGTGACCGGATTGCGCACCATCAATAAACTTGGTTGCCAATTAGGTGTTATTTATCAAAATTGATGGGTGAGCTTGATTGGCCAAAACTCTTCTCATACCATGTCGTTCTGACAACATAGATTTTCCCATATATTAATTTTAATACTGAAATTTACTTTTTTTTTTTATGTTGATGAACTTTTCAAATTTGTAATAGATGTCAATTTTAGTCACAAATATATTCTTACCAAATATATAAATACAATACAAATATAAGGTTTATAATTTACAGGCACTGTTCTCAATCTGAACTTTATCAAAATTGGTATCTGCCCTAATTAACTTTCTTGTTATATATTCAAAAGCTTAGGCTCAGTTTGGAAGGAGTATGAATACAAGTATATACAGTATAAATACATACAAAATAGTATAGAATACAAGGTTTTGCACTCTAGAGATTTATATTTGTACTCCTTCCAAACTGAGCCTTAATTAATTACTACATTCTGCGCAGCATTGGCTCCCCAGTCCCCACCCCCTCCTCCCAGCTTATGTTTGTGTAGTCCCATCATAAAGCTAGCTAAAAAAGTAATATAAATATACTACTGCTGCATGGATTCAAAAATGAAAATTTTAATTTATTTATGGTCGTTGCTATCTACTGGGGTGGCCTGTAATTTTGATAGCCAATGCCATGCGCCCTTGCCTCAATCATCTCTTTCATTCTTCAAATAATTTATTATAAATTAATAGAAAAAAGTAAACATGGTATTATTTATTTATTTATTAATTAACATTTTAACACCATACCCTAAATAATTACTGCCGTGACACTAATAAAGATAATTATGCTTATGAAAAGTGTAGTTGTGTTGGCCATTTCGATTACTCTTCAAATACTACCCTATTTTTATCTTTTCAATCTGTCTCATCTCGATCACAAATTATAAATTATTTGAAGAGATGTTTGTTCTATATATGCTTCTAGCTAGCTAATTAAGGATCAGGGCCCCACGTTGATATCATATGGGGAGATTTTCAAATTATCAACACAGAAAGAGTACTACTACTCAATCACTTCATCACTCTGCAGCTAGCGGACCATTTCAGAATCTTTAATTTTTTGTTTCTTTATTCGATTTATTTTAACAAAATGAACGTCAAAATCAACCTCCATGCATGTCATGCAATATATGGTCTTGGACTCTTGGGGAGTAGGTCACCTGCCGATGCCAATTAATCTTCATCTTCATGTCCACCAGCCCCCTATTTTAATTAAGCTTTCTATATATACTTGAACATTGTTCCAGACCCAGTACTCATCAAATTAAGGCAATGGCTGCTGCAGCTTCTTCCTTCAACACTTTTTCCCTCCTCCTACTCTTGTTTGTGGGGAGCTCCTCTGCTCAGCTGTCCACAAACTTCTACTCAAAATCGTGCCCCAATGTCTTTACCACAGTGAAATCCGCAGTAGGATCTGCGATATCAAAGGAACGCCGAATGGGTGCCTCGCTCCTTCGTCTCTTCTTCCATGACTGTTTTGTCAACGTAAGTTCTCTTAACCAACCATCTAGCACTAGCTAAGTAGCTAGCAGCCCTATTTTTAATGGGTGCTAATCTTGGTTTAACATTAATTATTGTATATTCCTGCAGGGATGTGATGGCTCCATACTTGTTGACGACACATCCAATTTCACAGGAGAGAAGAATGCAGCTCCCAATCGGAATTCAGTGAGGGGATTCAATGTGGTTGATGATATTAAATCCAAGGTGGAGAAGGTGTGCCCAGGCGTAGTGTCATGTGCCGATATCTTGGCAATTGCTGCTAGAGACTCTGTCGTTATTGTATGTAATTGTATACTAATTAATATTAATTGTTCATGTATGTCTATTGGGTGCTTCATACAAGATCTAATATATATACATGGTGGTTGTGGTTGGATAAAAGTTAATCTTGTTCATGTATTAATTAATTGCTGCAGCTTGGAGGGCCTAGCTGGAAAGTAAAACTTGGTCGAAGAGATGCAAGGACAGCCAGCCAGGCTGCTGCAAATACCAGCATACCCCCTCCAACTTCTAGCCTTAGCAATCTCATCTCTAGCTTCCAGTCTAAAGGTCTATCCACCAAGGACATGGTTGCATTATCTGGTATATATGTACAACTCTTTCTACATCTCTCTCTGTCTATTATTTATATGTATGTGAATTCATAAAAATTAAAAAACAAAACATATATACAGGTTCGCATACAATTGGACAAGCAAGGTGCACTAGTTTCAGAACTCGCATATACAACGAGAGCAACATTGACGGTTCCTTTGCCAAGGCAAGGCAAAGGAAATGCCCAGCAACTTCAGGCTCAGGAGATAACAATTTGGCACCCCTTGATCTTCAAACTCCTACAGCTTTCGACAACAACTATTTCAAGAATCTCATCAACAACAAGGGGCTTCTGCACTCCGATCAACAGCTGTTCAATGGTGGCTCCACAGATTCCTTGGTCAGATCATACAGCAGCAAGCCTAGCACCTTTATCTCCGACTTCTCTGCAGCTATGATCAAGATGGGAGACATCACTCCTCTTACTGGCTCCAATGGAGAGATCCGGAACAACTGTAGGAGGGTGAATTAAGGATATGATGGGAAACAGATTGTGTTAAGGTTTTCTCTGGATTTTGTTTTTATGGGTCTTGCGTTCTGTTTGCCTACGAGAGAGGTTGCCAGAAACTAGTTTCTTTTGCTGCCTGTGCCTGGTGAGAGTCAGAGTGCTTCTTCTGAACTACTTCACCAAGTACTTCTGCTTGTGAATATTATTAGCATGTTTGATATTTAATTTTAATAATAATATCACCAATGTTAAGTTGTTAACTGTCAAATCTAAACCTAATGACGACTTTTCCATGTCAACATCGTATAAGTAACAGCTTACGCCAACTCCTCCAACGTAGATAGTGATTACTGATTAGTGAGTAGTTGTTATTTTTATTATTCAAAACCGCTATTTCTCATGAAATCACCCTCGCTTTCTTTCGTCGCTTTGGAATCAGACACCGATGACGTTTAACTGTCAAATCTAAACCTAATGATGTTTTTTCCATGTCAACACCGTATAAGTAACAGCTTACGCCAATTCCTCAAACGTAGATAGTTTTATTCAAAACTGCTATTTCTCATGAAATGACCCTAGTTTTCTTTCGTCGCTTTCGAATCAGACACGGGTGATGTTTTTTACACTGAGCTGTTATTTAAGGACCCGTTGTATTTTTGCAAAACGTGACGTAATTACTATAAAGTTTTATATCCATTTTAATAATATATTATTTACATTAATGTAAAACTTTATATATATATATATATATGATGAGGTTTAAACTGATTCATGATATAAAACATTACTTCATCTAAACACGTTTAAAATTTAACCGAACTAAACAAGTTTTACATCAATCATTATTATACATTTTTTCTAAAATGCAGACAAAATTGAAGCGTTGTAAATGTTTATTTCATTTTTGATTTACACCGATTCCAAACGTAGTGTTAAATTTGTGTTTTAACGAGATGACCATTTCAATGGGCCAGAATAGTTACAAATGAAACATGTACAATGGGCTGCATAACCCAATCAAGAATAAACACGTCAGTCAGGCGTATAATGGGCTACTTAACTCAATTTGAGCAACTTGGACTACAAGCCCACTCTTGCTGCTTGGGCGGATATTGATGATCGGATGGGTCCGGTTGAAATTAAATAACTAGGCCCAATATCGATTTACATGGATTAGCTCAGCTATGTAATTAGTGAAGTAATTGTATGGCTTTGCAGGAAAATAGTTTCTCTTGAGACTCAAAACAGCTTCGAAAACCTTAAAATAAACAGGCATTAGAAACAATTTTTCCTTGTCTTATGTTTCATACCAGTTTGCAATAACACCCAAAGTACTGATATCGGGCTGCTTGATTATACTACCTGATGGGCGGTTGATAACTTGGACCAATCCATTAGCTCCGCTTAATGGGCCTCAGTATTAAAGGTGTTAATGGATCGGTTTTGGATTGGACCCTGTCCAGTTCAAAATCAATTTGGATGTATTAGATGAACCAATAAGACATATTGGATTGGACCAATCTGGTCCTAAATATTTATTAGATTGGATTAAACCTGGTTTGTTCGTAACAAATTTATATTGGATTGGGTTAGAATAGGCCAATATCTGATTCATTGATATAAGATAATAATACATGTGTCAATGAACCAGATTTGGATTGAAACCAATCTAAATTAAAATGAATTTGAACAAATTAAACAATTCAGACATTGAATTAGACCAATCCAAATTGGTCCAAAATATTCATTCAATTGAATTGGACCTAATCCATTTATAATGGACTCCCAAATCCAGTCCAATTGAACACCCCTATAGAAGGAATAATACACTGAACACACACACAAAAAAAAAGTAGAAAATGGTGTCAAGAGTCAAGACAAACAACGAAAAGCATGTAATCGGACACGGCCACCCACAAACAACAAGGTGTCCACACAGGCACAGGCAGTCGGTCTCGGACACGGCCGTTGGCCCAACCATCGCAAGTTGCAACCTTTGTTCTCCCGCCGCGCTTGGTTTGGACTTACGGTTTTTGGAAGCCAATATAGGCAATTTCGTACCAGACACTCCATTAACATCAGCTCAGACTCAGAGAGCAGCAGCAGCGCAACTGTGCACTAGGAGCTTAAGCTGTCAACATAACCTGATACAATGAAGAGCGGAGTGGTGTGGAGATGTTTGAGGAGAAGATCAATGTCGACTTCGGTCATTGATTGGTGGGACAACGTGGGAATCGCTCCCAAAGATCCCATCTTGAGTATTACGGAGGCCTACTTTGCCGACTCTAGCCCTAGAAAGATCAATCTCGGAGTGGTGAGTTCAGTTTAGTTTGGATGCTTGCAGGTTTTCATTAATAGAAGAAACCTGATTTCTTTGCTTCTTTTTTTGGTTGAAAGTTGTAGTTCATCTTTATTATCACCCACTCCCTCTGTATTTATTCATCATTTATTTACTTTAGCTTATGAGACATTTATAACTAGGGAGCTTACCGTGACGATGAAGGGAAGCCCGTTGTGCTTCAATGCGTTCGAGATGCACAGGCCAAGATCGCTGGTTGCGAGTTCTTGTTAGTCTTATTTTTACCCATTTATTTATTTCTTAAAGCAATTTGCAGCTTTTTCTAAATCCATCCTTCTTTGTTTATTCTTTGATATAGTTAGAGAATGCCCTGTTTTTTCTTTCTTTCATGGAGTTTAAGATACAGGTTTTAGTTTATGGGTTGATCGATTTCTGTTTGTCTCGATATGGTTCCGTACAAGCAGCACACCTCATCAGACCGGTTTTTATCGTTTTTATGTCCGTGTAACTTGTGTTAGTTTGCTGGAATTTCAATCCTTGGACATCATGTCTTTCAAATTTCATTGAATCATTTAACTAAGTTATAAGAGATTGAAAATAAAAGAACCGGAACTCTTAAACATGAAGTACACAGCGGAGATTAAGAGATTTCTTATCAGAAAATTCACATTTAGCCCACTATTTTGTGAAAACTCTGGAAACTAAAGTTAATGTATTTTTTAGGATAACACTGAGGTGTTTTCTTGTGCTTCGAAATCACTCTACTGATTAAACTTTGGTGGAGCTTGTATCAGTTGATTTTTTGAGGGAGCATTTTGTATACGTTGAGTTTCTTGCTCATACCTAAAATCTAAATTATTAAACTTAATATTGGAGATTTGTTTAACTGATCTATGCTCTTCTACATTTTATGATTTCAATTGTATGAGCAAGCCTGTTTTATGGTTCCTGTGCATGTGTGATTATGTTGCGTTCTATTGATTTTGTCTCTAAGACAGTCAATTTCACCTGGATATTTTTATTGGATCAATGCTAGTTTCTCAACGCCGTACAGTTACTTTTCTTAACATTTAACCAATATTATTTGCCATTGTCGAAAGTTCCTTTTTGATCTTTAGAATCTCATTATATTGAAGTTTATTTTTGAGAGATGTGTACAGGGAATCCCTTTCTAGACAAGGCAGTATGAAACTAGTTGACGAGAGTGTAAAACTAGCATATGGAGAGAGTTCAGATGTAGTAAAAGAAGGAAGGTTTGCTGGTGTTCAAGCTCTATCTGGCACTGGTGCTTGCCGCCTGTTTGCTGAGTTCCAGAGGCGTTTTAGGCCTGAAGCGCAGATTTATCTACCTGCTCCAACTTGGTCCAAGTAAAGCTTGTTTAACACCCTTTCAATTCCTTTACATGCTTTTGGGTCAGGCTTTTATGAGTTCAATTAAACTATGTGAAGCTTTATTTATGGATTTACTTTTCGCTGTTGAGATCCGATTGGATGCATTTCATAGCCACCGTAACATTTGGAGAGATGCCCAAGTTCCACAGAGAACCTTCCGCTATTACAATCTTGAATCTAAGATTTTGCACTTTGAAGCACTCATGGATGATGTGAAGGTATATTTATCTGGTTAGATTGAATTCTCACAGCTTACATAGTTTAATAAGTATCATTTTGGTATTACTAAGTAGCAAAGATCACTTTAATAATAAAAAGTATCATTGCAAGAGATTGTTTAATTTATTTATGAATACATCAATTATCTGGGTTAGATGTGAAAGTAGAATCTTCAGGCACTCAAGCACTACTCAAGCCTATGAACAGAGAAAATATTTCTTTTCCCTTGCCACTCAGATTTAAGGTTTATTTATTTATTTTGGGTATGGCCAAAATGTATCAAGCTCATGTTAGAATCATTAGGATCCTGACCCCTGCACTGCCACAGATAGAAAGGAAGACAATCAAATCGAAGCAAATTGTTGAAGAAGCATGGAAGTTACACGTAAAAATCATGTGACTAGATGCTGCACCTTTTGTAGAATGCCCCAAATTATTCATTTGAAGCAAACAAGGATGCCTTTCGTTATAATAACCAGATTTTTCCATTTTCTGTTAGCACCTTTTGTCCATTAACTCTTCTTTCTTTCTCATTGGTTGCTTTTGTAGAATGCCCCAAATTATTCGTTTTTTTTACTTCATCCTTGTGCACATAACCCAACTGGCGTTGACCCTACTGAGGAGCAATGGAGAGAAATCTCTTACCAGTTCAAGGTGAACCGTTATAAGTATTCGAACACCTTTTAATGCATCTTCATCAACTCTTACAATTTGTATATTGATTATTTTTACAATAATTTGTATATTGATTATTTTCAGGTGAAGAATCACTTCCCCTTCTTTGACATGGCTTATCAAGGTTTTGCCAGTGGAGATCTTGATAGAGATGCTCAGGCAATCAGGATCTTTCTCAATGATGGACATTTAATTGGTTGTGCTCAGTCATTTGCTAAGAACATGGGTCTATATGGACAACGAGTGGGATGTCTAAGGTTTGTGTTGTTTCTTTGAGATTTTGATTATATTGGAGCAGCAGCTCTCTGCCTCAGGATCCCAGGTTGCATATTGAGAACCCATCATAGGTTAACTTGATAGAACTGGAGCACGTGGGGTGATATCCAGTTGATAAAGGGATAATGTTCCAAATCCAATTGAATAACAATCCTGAAGAATATAATCTGTAGAAGCTAAAAGCATGTAAACAGCCCTTTAACCAAGTAAGCAGGTCGATCTTGATGCTTAAAGATGCCTATCCAAGGAGACTTTGGAGAGGAACCTTCAGCATATGTGCTTGATGTAGTCACCTTTTGATATTTACAGTACTCTCTTGTTTGATCATTCTGTACCTTTTCTTGGATTGCATCAATATCTTGCGTAAAAGTTCCAAGTATCCGATGTTATATCTAGCTCTTTTGGATGACTAGAAAGTATTGATAGTTGGTCTGAAAATAAATCCACTGAAATACCAAAACAGAATTACATGTTTGAAATGAAGAGGAACCCCATGAGGTGAACCATGCATTTATCTTGTTTCTTTATTATATTTTCTTGTTCAAGTATTTAAAGGTTCTTTTCTGTTTCTGTAATCTATTAGCATCCTCTGTAAGGATGCAAAACAAGCCATATCAGTCAAAAGCCAGCTGCAACAGATTGCCAGGGCCATGTACAGCAACCCACCTGTTTATGGTGCACTTCTGGTATCCACCATCTTGGATGATCCAGATTTGAGGAATCTTTGGGTGAAAGAGTTGAAGGTAAAATTATGCTTTCACTGTTAAATGCAACTTCAATTGACCCTTAGGCTCAGTTTGGAAAGAGTACAAATACAAATATGTACAGTACAAAAGCTCAGTTTGGAAGGAGTACAAATACAAATGTGTACAGTGCAAAACCATGTATTTTGTATTATTTTGTATGTATTTGTACTGTACATATTTGTATTGAGCCTTAGTTAAATTTTGATACTTACAAACATATGCAACTTCATTTTGGAATTATATGTACCCTTTGTAAGTAACAACACCTGCAAAAGCACTAAATATAGTTGATAGAAATCTATTTTTGTTTTGATAAATTTGATAGAAATCTAATTAGGTCTATGCTTTTTTCCTTATCCTCCTGTTTGTCAATATCTTCCTACCCGTCCCTGTTTGTAACTAAAGGATATGGCATGTTTCTGAAATGACTCTATTTTGTCAAGGTTATGGCAGATCGAATCATAAAAATACGAGCTGTTTTACGTAAAAATCTCCTAGAATTGGGATCACCTCTTAATTGGGACCACATAACTAACCAGGTCAGTGGCTCACTTCTTGATTTTGGACAAAATTAACTTCAGAATTACTAGTCTTAATGGTTTAGAAATATTAAAAAAAAAGGTGGAAGAAGAACAATATTCAGTTCCTTTCATTGATGCCAATTTTTTTTTTTTTAATAAGTTTCAGCCTTCCTTAACCTATAATTTTACAATACTGCAGGTTGGGATGTTCTGCTATAGTGGTCTAACCCCCGAACAGGTCGATCAGCTTACAAACAAGTTCCATATTTACATGACACGTGATGGCCGTATCAGGTAATCTTTTCAACCAATTAAAAACATAAGGATTTTTCACTGATCTTTGCAGAAACATGCTCTCTTTTTGAGGCTTTGAAGTCTGAAGTAGATATCATATACATTGAACTTGCATTCGTATGGCACAATACTATGTGCTCTGTCTAGTCTAAATGACATCATATTGCCGGGTAAGGCACCAATTAGATCAATGAGTTATCTTCTGCGTTATCCACATCTAAGATGATCATTGGATAATCTTATACATTTGATACTATAAATCAGGCCTAACGTATAATGTATAAGGATGCAATTCCTTGTTTTTTGATTTGTTGCAGATGTCTCTATTGGAATATTTTGATAACTATGAATCTTTTGTTTGTCTTGTAATCAATTTTCTGAGGCAGTATTCTTTCATTCTTGTGATCATTCATTTCCCTTGGGCAGACATCTCCTTAGGTCATTCTAGGAGACCCTCTCAAACTCTTTAGATGAAGACACACAAAATCTTAAGGTGAGAGAGGATTTGTTCTTGAATTGCCTTAAATGAATCCTTCTTTTTGTCAAAAATTGTCATACTCTCTTCCTAAACTGCCCAAAGGACCACATGGACAATTGCTTTCCAATAGACCTTCGCTCAGGATCCCAAGTTGTGACCTTTACACTGCGTTCAGCATGGCTGCAAAGTTACATTTTTAGGTGACTGAAGATATAATTACACAGCCCTAGGGATAGATCTGCCCCAAGAATCGCTAAAGCAATTACATGGAAACAAAAATCTGAAATATATGCAATCTCAGAAGTCAGAAATGCTACTTGATTGGCCCACATTGGCCAGGAAGTCGGTAAGTTGATTTACTTTGTTAATACGAGTAAAGGTGATCTCTATACCATCTGCATTTGTAAACTCCTGGCTGCCCATGCTTCAGCATAATTGATTGATGAAATTCCAACTGTCAGCTTTAACAAAATTTATTCTTCCTTTGTAGTCTCTTCCAACACATCATAACAGATCCTGCCCTAGTTGTTATTTATTTTATTTTATTTTTTTGATGCATCAAAGTTAATTTCAGTTTCTTGGTTGAATCATTTGACATGTATAGTTCTTAGAAATGACAAACATCAGACGGTTGAACCATTTGACCTGTGGCCAAGTCACGGAAATGGTTCTATATCCTGTCCTTTGACAACACAGATTCAAGCATCCAATGCCTTCAAAAGTTCAAATTTCATTTGAAATATATTAATACCTTTTGCTCAGGGAGACAGATGTGGCTGCAACATGGAATGAACAGTATGAGATTGCTAGGGTGTCATTTTACTTTATCCTAATGAATCATGTAGCCAGATTTGGGGCCAAGAAGTTGAGTTCTTATTTTTTCTACACTGATTTGTTGCAGCATGGCAGGTGTTACTACAGAAAATGTTGCTTACTTGGCAAATGCAATCCACAAAGTCACCAAATCTGGTAAAGAATCCTGAAGTACCCAATCATGTTGGCTTGATTTGGTTACATGTAAAATGAAGAAAAACAAATGAATACCACAGAAAATGCTATTTTCCAAAAGGTAATAGTAGTTGTTGGAAAATAGCATTCCTACCAATTTTTTCACTAATCATTTTCTCAAACAGTGTTGGTTCTCTTGTTTCTGATCTCATGACACACGTATTATTCAATCAATCAGGTTTGTTTTCCAAGGTAAACTGAAAATCAGGAAAATTAAGCAAATGACTTGTTTTCAATATTATTCTTCATTTTACATGCAAGAAAACACAGACACTCTTCCCAAACTACTGAGCCTTAATACATTATTTCAATTAACATTGATCTATGATAGTTACTGTAAGGAGTTGAAGTACAAGTTACTAAAGATAAATGGAAAGCTGCTTGTGTTTATTTTTTCCTTTTTTTTTTCCTGCTATCAGCCAGAATTGTTCCAGTTGGAATTCTTTTTTTTTGTGCTAGAAGACAGTTCTAATATTTGTAATTTCACATACCTAAAGACTAGAAATTTGTCTGATGCCAAGGAACTATGTCTATGGTGTTGGGCGTTGGGGTTCAGGGTCTACCGTCTACTATGAATATTCGTTTAAGTGTATTTATGATGTTCTGTCTTGTCTCTCAATTGGTTGAACAGAAGATCCTTGAGGTGTCCTATGAAAACCTCTCGAGTTTTCTGACAATCTTATAAACCTCCCTATGTTTTGATTTTAACAGAATCCTCCCCTATAGTTTTGAAAAAAGCTATAAATACCTCCCTTCCATTAAAGTTTCGTCAACTTAGAAGATGAATTTACTAAAATACCCTTAAATACTACCAAGTATCAAACTCCTCTTTCTGGGATGTATCCTTCTACGTCAAGTTCAACAAGAACAGAGCAAGCTTCTCTTTGAAACAAAAACATCATAAATTCACTGGCAACATTCCCGTAGGTTTCAGCAAGATTTTCACAGATGGTTGATAATCTTAATTTAGATGCCATGTTTGGTTTCTCTAATTTGTCAAGATTGTAATAGCTCCCGTTTTTGCTCTTGGGGATCAATCCGTGTGGAAGGCAATGTCTTTGACTTTGTTCATGTTAAATTTAATAAGACAATGCGGTTCCTATTTGCCTGTCACCTGAAAAAAAAACAGAAAAGGAAAAGGAAAAAGAAAAAAGAAAGAGAATGAAGAAGAAAAAAAGAGACGGGAAAATAAGAAAATGTGAAAAATAAATAAAATAGAGCAAAAGGAGAAAAAAACAAGTGATGATTGGTTAGTTCAAATGAGACAAGTGGAAAAAACAGGGGTAGGAGAGGTTTGCTTCGGTTACCACTTCAAGGGTAAATATGGTATTTTAAGAAAATTAATGTATTACATTAGGGTTTTCGGCCAGAAAAAAACTAATAAGAGGGAGATATTTGTACCATTTTTCAAAACTATAAAACTATAATGGAGGATTCTGTTCACACCAAAACACGGGAGATTTATAAGATTGTCAGAACACTCATGGGAAGTTTTTGTATTTTAACAGAAAAGGAAAAAGAAAAAAAAAATCAAATTACATAATTGTCTAATATCAGATCTCGTTGGTCTACAAATACAAGGGCTGCCGCCTGCCCCTGCCCGATGTTGTTGTCTCACACATAAATGGGATGGACCTAAGTTGGCTTTTCGAAAAGAATTGATAGGAATAGGCCCAAGTCTTGATTCATATTATCCTTGGGCCTGTGACAATTTGGAATGGGCTATAACCTCTATGCATGTGGTTGGGCATGGCGAACATTATTTTTTTCTCTATGCGGGAGGAAATAAAAAAGGGTGCCCCATGACCAGGCGTCCTAAATTCCTAATATGCAAGGTGCCAACCAGCGGATTGGTAAGGTCTCTTGGGATTGAATCCGTCTGTGCGGTTCTATAGCTCTTTAAAAGAAAAAAAATAAAAATAAAAAATAATCCAAGTAAATATATGACATGTAGGCCCTGATTTGAACAGCCAATAAAACAAAAATAACTGGCAGCTACGGATGTAGTTGTTTTCATTTTAAAAATTAGGGAAATTGTCTAAAATTTACCATGAATTTTTAACGTGTCCTTTTAACTCACCACAATTTTTTCAAAATGTCTAAAACTCACCATGTCAGTAAGTTTTTATTTTCCAAAGCTCACCTTCCATTAGTGCACCGCTAATGCTTCTTAACAGAGGTGTCCATGTCAGAATAAATAACAATTTTTATGACCAAATTACCCTTGAATGGTGAGTTAGAGGAAAAATGGTCTTTTTCAGTTTTCAATTTTCTTGTTTTTTTTTTTGCATTTTTAGTATTTGTTATAATTTCCAATGTTTTTTTATAATTTCTGTTTTTTTACATTTTCTATTTTCTACAATCTATAAAACTTCCTGTATTTTTTGTTATTTATTTGTAATTTCTGTGTTTTTCTATACTTTTTTGTGTTTTTCTATAATTCTTGTTTTTTGATTTCGTTTTTCAATTTCTATAGTTTCTATAATTTGAAAATAAATTTTTATTTTGTTTGAAATTTTTATGTTTTTTTTTATATTTTTTTGTAATTTTTATATTGTTATGTATTTTTTATTTGAAAATATTTTTTGAATTTTTTTCTTTTTTTCATGTCTAAATATTGAAATGGTAATATATTAACACCCGTTAATTTATTTTGTATATATTTTATATTTTTCTATAAAAGTTAAAATGGTAATATACGAACACCCGTTGGTCTGTTTAACATCAAATTAGTGACATGATGAATTTTAAACATTTTAAAAAGTTGGGGTGAGTTTAAGCGGAATGTTAAAACAATTTCCCTAAAAATTAAAATAATATATATTGATGAAAAACCCCTTCATTGGCCATTTAAAACGAAGGGACGACTTTTGAAACTCTGAATAAAAGTGAGCAAAGCATGAATGCCTTTGTTTGTTTGACAACAGTGTAATGTAACCCCTCATTCTGGCTCTTGGAAACAGTGTTAGGTCAGGAGTTGCAAGGAGCCAGACGAGAAGGGATCTTCTGAATGCAAAAGTTGTGCATGCATCTTGATAGCATTCGCATCCAGCTGTACGTAGGGAATATTTTCCCATGAATTTAACATTATGGGGAGATATTCCCAATGTGCGGCTGCGGCTGAGTAGAGGAATTTCCTATCTTCATGAGAGACGGGGACCGGGGTAGGGGTAACTGACCAAGTCAATTACACCAACTCCTTTTACCTAGAAAGTCCTCCTTAGGAGGTTCGAGAGCACCTGGCATTTTGATATATGTAGGCCAATTCAGGCGGCGACACATTACTTTTATCTGGTTTAACCAACTTAATTTATATCAAGCACTGGCTCAGCTCTAAAGCTGAAAAACAACTTATTTGGTTCTAAAACTATTTGGTAGGACCCATTTCCCTGAAATTTTTTAGTCTCTAAAATGTCATCCGTCTGTTATATAAATTGAATTTAATTAGTTTAGTTAATTGACTAAACTAATTGATTAACACTACTATTTTTAATAATTGACTAATTCTATCCTTACTGTTAGTTTTGTTAACATTCCATCAAAACCCATAGGCACATGACATATTTTTTTTAAAAACCCAATTTTACTCTCCACCTCCGATCTTACCCTCTTTCTCTCTCCTTTCCCCATCAACCTCCCCTCTCTTCTCTTCTCTCTCTCTCTCTCTCTCTCTCTTTTATTTCCCTCTTTCTCTCCTTTACCCTAAATAGGGGAGATCCACCGCTGCTCTCCCCAGGTGGTTGCAATTGTTGCCACTATTGCAACTTCCATTTGCACATCAACACATAGGAAAAAAAGGAGAATAGGGGAAATCTGTTGCTGCTCTCCACCGTTTGGTCTAGCTAAAACACATAGGGAAAAAAGGAGAATAAGGGAGATTTGTCGCTGCTCTCCACTGTTTGGTCCAACTAAAATACACAGGAAAAAAAGGAGAACAGGGGAGATTCACCACTGCTCTCTGCCACTTGGTCCGACTAAAACACACAGGAAAAAAAAGGAGAACAGGGGAGATCCATCACTGCATTCCGCTGGTGGTTGCCATTGCTGCCACTATTGCAGTTCCGACAGTTCTAACAAAGAGAATGAGAGGGAGGAAGAGATCCAAGTAAGGAACCCAGATCTAGGTATCTCTCATATTCTCAGATCTGCAAGGGACCTAGATCTGAGATCCGGTCATCATCTGTCATTTCGGCAGTTTTGGCAAAGAGAATGAGAGGGAGAGATCCGAGTAAGGAACCTAGATCTGAGATCTGAGAGAGACTCAGATATGAGATCCGGTCATCATCCACCATTCTGGTAGTTTCGACGAAGAGAATGAGAGGGAGAGGGAGAGATGCGAGTAAGGAACCTAGATCTGAGATCTGAGTATTTCTCAGATCTGCAAGGAACCTAGATCCAGTCATCATCTTCCGTTTCGATAGTTCCGGCGAAGAGAATGAGAGGGAGAGGGAGAGAGCCGAGTAAGGAACCTAGATCTAAGATCTGAGTATCTCTCAGATATGCAAGGAACCCAAATCCAGTCATCATTTGCCGTTCCGGCAATTCCGGCGAAGAGAATGAAAGGGAGAGGGAGAGATCCGAATAATCTATAGTGGAGGACAAAATAGTCATTTTCATATCTCCGTTGACGCACGTTAATGACTTAGAAGGAGTAGTCAATTGTTAGAAATAGTAGGGGTAGTGTTAGTCAATTTTCGAACAATAAAGATACACTTAATCAATTATCTAAACCATAAGGATAGTTTAAAAAATTTACCTTATATAATATTACAAAAGTCAATTAATTATGTTTATAAATTCTAATATAAAATAATAAAACCGTATATATGCTTATATAAGAATGATGTTAGACTCGAAGATGTTGAAATTGAGACGATGTGAGTGACGGTCAAGATATTGAAATTGAGATTTGAGAAATTGAGATGGAGTATTAATTAACTAGAGAAGAGAAAAGAAAACAATGGCAAGCGTGGCCGAGGAGGTGTTGCTTGCAGTTGCATTTAGAGGATTTTTCAATAATATGTTTAAGCATGCTTTTTGTTAAAAGTTTTTCAATCCCAAGTTATACATATTTAATAATGTCGTTTCACATTGGGATATGACATATATTTTCGGAGTTGACTGTCTGAACTTCTTTTCGGTTTAATTGAATTTTTAAATAATTGGCAAACATAATTTCTTCCCTCTGTTCCCACTTCCCACTGTGTTTGTCAAAATAATGAAACCTTGGCTTTTAGTATGCATGTGATGGGGCTTTCGGATGAGTTAAGCTGTTGGATATTTTTTCCCTCATTATATAATAATGCATTTGAAAAGTAAAAAAGCACCATTCTTTCATTTAAACCACCACTAACAGCAAGGTTTTGTCGATCGATCGGGATTCAACTTAAAAGACTGGTTGTGTATTGTAGGAACCTGTTTTCTCATGAAAATAAACTAAAACCCTAAAACCACAAAGCAGCTATTGCAAACAACTTCGCCTGGTTACATATGCTGAATTGCTGATGCCACAAAGTTCCTTTCTAAT